TATAGGGAAAACCTTTTGTTGTAAATGAAGAATTCTGTTCTGGCAAAACCACAAAGAATAAAGCAGCCAGAACCAGTAACTGTTTTCTATAAACCTAGGCATGTTAAAAAATAAGGGCAGTTATCGATTGCAAAAAGGATCTATAGCTGAAAATGAAACATCTTTTGATTATTTGCCTGGAAAGGAAGCCCTCTATTATAACCTCAGTGCTGCACAGACAGGATCATAAATTGGGCTATATTAATTGCTACACAACTATCTTTTTGTAGCACCAAAAAAACCAAAACAGCTGGTACTTCATGCGGGAGAAAAGTATCTGCATCATTGAAAGCTCAATATCTACAGCTGACCAACTCTTTTCGAATTAATTAATTAATTTGTAGGATATAATATACTGAACATTTGAGCCAGAAAAAAAACCTGAAAGAACAGAAAAGTAAACAACTTCAGCATAGCTACAGGAATTATCCTTTGTCTTACTTGATATTTTATTTCATGTGATTTGATACATGTGATCAATCATCATCACAAGTTCTCCTAAGTTAGGATTTGCACTCAAACATTTTTAAACCTTTTCCCTCCAAGCTTTCAAGCATTTCTTACATGAACAGATTGGAGACGACAGTGCTGATGATGTTCATACTTTTTCATGGGAACCTAAGCAGAAGTTAATAGTTATTGAAGTTGAGAATATTATCAAAATACAGAAAAGAGTTACCTCTCAAGGTTCATGATATTTTTGATGTATTGTTCTTTTGGGTTTCTTTGGCATATACCTAAAACAGGTTGTCAGAGTGGGAAGTTTGTTCAGAAGATCTCCAAGTATAAAGGAACCTATTTATGATTCCTTTGGAAGCCTCCTAGCACTAAACCTAAAGAAGAGTACATTAGGAGGAGGATGCCTTCTGGCATCTCGATGCGAGCTCTGTGGAGGAGACACCGAGCGTTTTCAGAATCCTAATTAAAAAAAATATAGATAGCTTCATCTGTCTAGCGGAGCTACGAGCGCGGCACGCGGAGCCCGAGGCGTTCGGTCCCCGCTTCCCCGCGGGTGCTGCTGATCCCCGATCCCGCGGGCGGGCCCGGCGGATGCGGGGAAGGGGGCGCGGGGCGGGCGCTGCGGCCCCGCGGCGGGGAGCGCATTCCCGGCATCCACACGCCATCTAGCGCCGGGAACAGGGGCG